TATGTTCTTTTGGGAAATAAAGCTTGGTTTTTTCATCAAGATCGCAGCTGGAGTAAGTGAGATAACAGAGAATCTTTAAAGAAACAGAAAAATTGGCTTGGAATAAGAAGGATGTTTCAGATTGGTGATTTCTCGTTTTGGTGAAGTATTATTTGGTAACTTGTAAGATAGCGCGCGTCTCCTAGTTTCCAGTTGGATGAAGAAGTTAGGATTCTTTCAGATGATTTGTGATTAAATAAATTTGGTCTGAACGATGCTGCGATCAATCAACTCTCACGTCACAGTTGTGATGGAAACTCACCCCTCATGTCATTAAATTTTATTTATATCTAATCTAGAAATCTCTGCAACAGAGACTCTTCATATTCCAAAGATTTCTCATTTGCCCGCTAGGACCCTGTCTCACAATGAATCTGTTGTACTTAAGACTCCACGGACTGAAGTCAGATCTTCGACGAACAATGTTCTTTTTTGTCGGGTCACTTACAAGCGGAAAACTAATTTGTGCAGCAAAGTGTTGCAATAGATAATTCATGTAGATTTGATTTGCCTGTCATTAAAATAAATTAAGAATATCTCAAATTAATGATACCTTAGTAATGTCTTTTATTCTCCACTCGACGTTTTTTGTCATCGCTTGTCTACATTCCATTGGAGAGCTGACAACTCCGACGTCCACAGAAAAGGGAAACAATCTTTAAAATATCGTGAGCATAAAATAAATATGATCGAAAGGTAAACAGTACTACTTTTTTGTGGTGATCAGAATCCTCTTAAAACAGTGAATACCGGAAATTAGAACTGAAAAATGATCAGAGACAAGGCTCAGCACATCAATCAGTGTCTTCTTAGTTGAGATGCTATGGATGTAAAAGCGAGAAAAAAACCTTCTCTTCGGAAATGTGAACATTTGTACAGCTACAGCAAATAATATAGTAGTAGTAGCTCAGAGAAATTACATCACCGTATTTTCAGACTGTTTTCATGTAGTAGATTTACAGAATCAAAATCACAGAACAATCAATGCGATCAATTACACATCAATGCGTTTAACCTAGTCTCCTGCAGCGAGCTGTCGACCTTTAATTTTTCTG